TACTTCAGGTGAAAGTTGAAATTAAGATAAAACAACATCTTGTATTGAAAAATGTTAAGTATTTCTAGAGTGAGAATTATCAATTTGTTAATTATCTTCAAATGACACCGATTAAGTATGAGGAAATTACATAATAGCCGGGGTTTAAAGATTATAATTCAAAATTCAGGGACAAAATTTCACTATTCACAAATCAGGTATAATATAATACAAACCCTACATCATTTTTCTTCTCCATCTTCTCTCTACAGTATAAACCCGCCCCTTCTCTCTTTTCTTCTCCCCTCTCTCTCGCGTCCCCTCTTCTCCTCTCCTCTCTCTCTATTCTAGCAATTGTGCCTCTGCCGGTGCTTCTGCCAGCTCCTCGCTATGAGGCACCAAAGAGGCATCGCGCCTTTGTCGGTGCCTCCCTTCGAGGAACTAGCGTGGCGCCTCTGTGTATTTGTTGGTATCGTCGATGCTATCTACAGGCGGCGTCTGTTGTGGGTTGATTGATAGGTGTGGTTGTTGGAGCGATGTCTGTTGTGGGTTTCGTTGTGTGACGGTGGTGTGGTGGTTTTGAGGGGGCTGTAGCAGGGTGGTTTCTTCTTTGTTAGTGTGGTGGTGGTGTAGCAGATGTGGTGGTTTTAAGGGGCTATAGCAGGGATGCTTTTTATTTGTTATTGGTGGTGTCTGTGGGTGTGGTGGTACGTTGTGGAGGCGGCGGTGGCGAGGTGAGGGTGGTCGTAGTGGTAGTGGTGGTGGATCTGATAGTTGGGGTGGGTTTGGAAGGTTTTCTGTGTGGTGGTGGTGATAGTGGTTGGTGTTGGCCGTGACCGTGACAATTATTTGGTTAATTTGTGAGCAATTATTTGGTTATATGTGACTCTGGAAGAATCCGTGACCATTAAATTTTTTGTCTGTGACTGTGACCATGTGACCAATTACTCAATTGTGACCTAAAATTTTAATAATACGTGACTCAAAAATAATCTATAACCAACTAATTTAAAAATTTGTAACCTCGAACTAATCTGTGACCAACTAATTTAAAAATATGTGACCTTGAAATAATTTGTGACGTACAAATTTTTTGATATGTGACCTCAAAATAATTTGGGATCAAAAAATTTGACGATATGTGACCAGTAAATAAATCTGTAACTTATAATTATGAATATGTGATCATTAATCACAAACCGTGACTTTATTATCTTTATTTAATAAATATTTTTAATTAATTAAATCCATACTTGATTTTTGCATTTTCAAATTATTTACCTTACTTTTGAATTGAGGTAAAGAATACACTTTAAATATGAATTTTTCCCATTAAGTATTTACTAGCAGGGGGATTGAAAATGAGGTATTTCGTATGTTTGACACGTGGCTTCATCTTAACAACTGACAAATCAAAGACTCTACAATCATAACATGGCCGTCATAGACAATTTTTATTGATAAAATCCTCAATTAATGATCCTTATCTTCTATATATCACATAAGTTCATCCACAAATAAATAAATAAATAAACAGATAATGCATATAACCTCAATGCAAGACTAAAGGACATAAAATTAGCCCCTGTTATATTATTTCAAAAAGAGAGAGAGAGAAAGAGAGAGTTTTGAATAGTATTTTTAAAAGAATGTGTGTTTAAAAAGTAGGGGAAAAATGTAAATCTACATGCATAATATTTTATTTTATGAATGTATGATTGAAAATGATTCTGTATTAAAAAAATAATTTTAAAATAATTGACACCAGACATTGGCTTAATACTGAAATCAATAAAATAATTTTTTTCAATATCTTTATTTCTAATATTGTAATATATCTAACAATTCTCACTTACACGTTACATGAACACACTAACTACTGTTTGAGCCACATTTGAAATAGTATATTGATAAAGAATGCGTTGTTAAATATAAATTAAAAGTTTTGAATTGTAAGTAATATTATTTTAATGAAAAATGTGGAGAGAGAAAAATGCATTTGGAAAAAAATTGAGGATCAAACAAGGATTATATAAAAATATCAAATATATGCTTATATGCGTATAATTCATACGTACGTGAGTGCCTACATGTATCTAATAGCACAATATATTGCGCTAAAAGAAGATTCGAGTCACGAACTCATTTTACCAAATAACATATAGTTTTATTTCCACTTTTACATAAATAATAATTAATCCAAAAATACGACGTAAAGAGTTAAGGAAATAAATGAGCAAATGTTGAGGACATTCATTGAAATTGAATTGTCATGTTACATAGACAACTAACCTTTCTAGTAAAAAAGTTAATTATAAATAAATAAAAAAGCTTAGATCAATAATTTTTTTTAAAAAATTATAGAACTTTTTCAGCTCGATTTGGCCCCATTATTTGAGATTATAATTTTTGAAATAATATATTTTTTAAAAAATGTGTGGTTAAAAAGAATGTCTTAAATTTACGTGTAATATTATTTTTCGAGAAATGTGTGATTGATAAAAAGAAATAAATAAATAAATTATAATTTTAATGGGCTAAACTGCTTATTACAAATAAAATGTTGGGGTACTTACAAAAATACCATTAAAATTAGGGAAGTTTTGAAAAATCATATGAAATGTTTTTATGAAGTAAAAAATACTGTGTAAAATGAAAAAGTGATACAATGTCACTTTTTTTACTTCTTTAAAAAGTGACAAAACTAAAAAAAGTGACACACTCTCAAAAAGTGATATAAATACTAATCAAAACCTTAGATTTAATTTAATAAAGGGACATAAATTTTAAAAGTAACGACTACAAAAAAGGTGACACCACCAATCAAATCTTTGAAATCAATTCAATAAAGTAACGGAAATTAAAAAAAAATGATAAAAACTCAAAAAAGTAACAACACTAAAAAAAGTGACGAAACCACGCTTACTTTTTTTAGTGAATTGTATCACTTTTTAATAAAAGTTACTCCACATTGTATCACTTTTTAAATAAAAAATTAAGTGTAATGTCACTTTTAATATCTTTTTTTTTAATAAAAAAATGATATATAATATCAATTTCATTAAAAAGTAAAGTGAAATATANAATAAAAAATTAAGTGTAATGTCACTTTTAATATCTTTTTTTTTAATAAAAAAATGATATATAATATCAATTTCATTAAAAAGTGAAGTGAAATATAATATCAATTTTATTACAAAGTAATATTTGTCACTAAAAAAAGTAACATACGATAAAAAAATGGTGATAAAAAAAGTGACAAATATTAAAAAGGTGACATGAAAAAAAAGTAACAAACGTTCAGAAAAGTGACACTAAAAAAGTGACTCACGATCTTTTTTAAGTGAAGTGTCACTTTTTTATTAAAAAAGACATACAATGTCACTTTTATTCAAGAAATGATGTTTGTTACACAAAAAAAGATAGAAATTTCAAAGAATGGACAAAAAAAAGTATCAAACATTAAAAAAGTGATAAAAAATCAATAAAAATTGACAAACACTAAAAAAAGTAACACAAATTTCAAAAAGTGACGAATACAAAAAAAAGTGACAAATTGGCAATTTCATGTTGGTGTAACACAATTGAGTTATTATTTGCCTGATTGAGACATAGTAGAATACTTTGCGCAACATGGTTATTGTAATTGGATTCTCAAATAAGTGATCAGCCAATTTATTGAGTGAACTAATATGCAGATCTGAACAAATGAGATATGAGAATTAATATTAAGAGTTTTAATTCCCTTATTGCGAAATCAGCAAATGCACACTAATTCCACTTCGAACACAGGCTGCCAAACACTTTCACTTCCACCACGAATCATAGTAGCAATTGCAAATCATGAGTTAACTGTTAACCAATAGCTCTGATGCAATTGTAGTAATGGGAACGCCTTGCAATTAAATAAAATAACCTCTTTTTATTTTCTAATCAATTAAGATGCAAGAATTAAAGCCATTTTAACAATCCAATCAAAACTCCTCTGTCGATTCCAAACAAGTGTAGCAAGAATGGATGAATCAAGTCTCTGACTAAAGATTTAGATGCTAGCAGAATCCTTTGCACTCTCGCATGCTTAAGGATTTGTATAGCTGAAAAGGTGTGCCGCACACTATCTTGTACAAGACCTGTCAAATATTGAACCCCCAATCTTTGTACCCACAATATGATTCACAGCAAAATCATTACAAATTTATAGGGAAGAATCCCGACTTCTAATAGTCCAACTCAAAATACAGATTGCCAATCATCAAGCACGGGCTTAAACACAATTTTTTTTTTCTCTCAACCCATTCAAATGATTCATTAACCATTCTTAAATTCCAGCTAATTCTCGAAGAACTCTTGATCGAATCCTCTGAAGAAACTGGCACCGATCGCACTAGTTCCATCAAGAAACGGATCTCGCGTATTGGGAACACCGTCTTCTAAGATTAAGAATTATCCCTTTTTGATTGGAGAGGAGCATCCACCTTAGATTGGAGAGGATTTTCTGTTGGTTTTGATTTAAGATGAAGAATTATCCTTTTTGGATTGGAGAGGAGTTTCCGCCTTAGATTGGAGAGGATTTTCTGTTGGTTTTGATTAATTTTGACCGTAATTAATACGGAGATTAAATACATAATTAGGTTTAAGTGTATTATTCTAATTATTTTCTTTTTTAAAGTACTGAGTCTAATTATCCCTAAAATGTTTAGTACAAAAAATACGTAGAAAAAGCCGCATCTACCGAAAAAAAATAAAAAATTACAGCTAATATCCACGTCACGCGAGTCACGTGACCAGACTCCTCCCCCTTTCGAAACCGCTTTGTTTTTCACACACACATTTAAATATCCCCTTCTCCCTTTTTCTGCCCCTTTTACACTTTCAGCGAATGCGAAGCAAAACCTGAAACCCTTCTTACGTAAACCCCCTACAAATTTTCCTCCACACATATATATATGTATATAGTCATAAACACTAACTCTAATTGATAATCATATACGTATAGCTCATTGGTGAAACGATTATAAATTATGTCAATTCGGTTCAAATTCCGGAGCTCGGTGAATTTCGACACGGTGGACATCGATGGCCGGGATTCAATATCTGTTCGAGAGCTGCGGGCTAAAATTCTTAACAGAAAAACCCTAGGCGCTGCCCGGCAACAGCAGCACGATTTCGATCTTGTATTCTTGGATGCGGATTCTGATCAAGGTCCGATTCAGTACCCTTCTTTTTCATTCAGTTTCCCTCCGTTCCTGCAATTTGCTGGTTTTTGGGGATTTTCTCTTTCTATTAGCGTTATGTCCTTGTTTGATATATAATATTGTTTGTTGATTAATGAGTATGATTCGCTTTGGGGAAAATTGGAATTTTCAGATTACAAGGATGATAATTTCCAAATTCGTAGCGGATCCAGCGTGATTGTTAAGCGAGTTCCAGCAGGGACTGTGCCATCGGTTATGTAAGTTTTTTTCTCTTATTATTTGTTTGGTTTTTACTTTGTTTTGCTCAGTTGTATTTATTCATACGCAGTGAGTGTGTATGCACTGATGCATATGAAATTACACATTCAAATATTATTTCTGTAAATGGTGCTCTTTTGGAGATATGAGATTCAGATGCAATTATGAATTCAAGAAAAATAAACATCCGGTATATACTGTTAGATATAATGGCATGGGGGTTTATAATTTTGTGTTGGATGTCGGCATTTTGAGCATCAATTTTAAGAAACTTTGTTTTTCTATACATGCTACCGCTTGTAATATGACGGTTGGAATTCATTTGTTGGTAGTTGCAAAAAAAGTAGATCCTGCCCCGCAACTTCAGTTTTCGATCATCAGCATGCCAAACTTATGATTACAGATGACACTTATTGGATATTTTATGTTGCATGATCACATAAAGTAGGGACCGATAAGAGAAAGTTCGTTATATTAAACACCCATATCATTTGAAAGTCAGTATTTATTCTTTAACGTGCATTAATTCCGGTATTGCTGGAATCACGTGCTTCGGTTGGTCAATTGTAAAAAAATGGAAGTTTGTTTCAGAAATCCTGCTAATAAATAGGTTTTGACTTCAACTGCAGTTTTGGATAATTTTGGAAGTTGGAGAATTAGTAGAACAGTAGTTTTTGTGCATGCACGATTGTTGTAGAATCTATAGATGTAACAGCCACCTTAAGTTATTCGGCTGAATTAAACATTCATGATCTGTCCGGATTTATGGTATATTTAGATTCTTCTTCTGACTAGGTTTCCTTGTAGAGCTATTCTCGTTAGTAATCATGTGGAGCTTCTGCATGGAAATGCAATGAGAAATCTGTTTTTTCTTGTTTGATAAAAAGATGCACAAGTATTAGTTTTTATCGTAAATTGTAATAATCAACCAACTCCTTTATGCTCCATTTTCTATTTTCTTTATCATAAAATTTAGTTGTATGGAGTATTTTTAAGATATGTATTAACTCTTGCAATTTCCCTGTTGTAATTTCTTCATTGCAGGGTACCACCCATCGAAACCGTTAAGGATTTGGGGACGAAAGACTCCTGTCAAAAGAATCCAGTTGTAAGCACGTCTCTTTTTTTCTTCAACTTCCATCCTTTGTTTTGTCTTACTTTCACCTCTTTGAGTTTAGATCATTTCTTAAATGACTAAATAAATGCATGCTTCGCATGAAGAATGTCTTGATAGATTATCATCTAGGTGGACCTGTTTTACCGTTTCGCATCTCTTTCCCTGTATATCTCCACCCTCATCTTCTGGTGTAGACGGCTTTCTCATCTTGGATGATGCTATCTTCCTCCGAAATTGTCATTTTTATTGATAGGTATAAGCCTATAACAGATTTAGAGACTAGGTTATTGACCAGGAAGTACAGACACGCCTTCGGCAGTGTCTATGTCCAACCCGTATGCGACGCCGACGTCGCCGAACCGTGTCTGATGCATCAGGTGGTGTATCCCTTTTTTATTTGGTTTTATGAAGTAGGATATGTCGCTGACACGTCTCTGACATGCCGAGATAGTTTCTGACAGTTAAAAAGGATAATCGGAAAATAAATAGAAGGAAGAAACTGTCTAGTACTTTGCCTCTCTATCTCAGAATAATTGCAAGGTGCCCTTGTTGAGGAGATGGGAAGGGTTAAAGAGGGAAGTTGCATATCTGGAGGACGGCTGTGCCGTGGGTGTTCGACCGGCAATGTTGATGGAGTTGGGTCATGCGTGACGGCGCTGTGAAAGATGAAATGGGAAACCCTAGTTCAGACACGGCAGTTGTATTATTAACTGACAACTTTTTCTTTCTTTTATTTTCTATTTTAAAAAATGCAAGAGCAGTCGTCACTTGTAAAATCATGGTCAATATTGCGGAATAACAGAAACTGTAAGTGCAGTACATTTAGAAATCGGACAACACTTTTTTTTGCAGAAGCAGGTCACCTTTTTAACAATTTTTAATAATGATTTAACCGTTACTTTAATTGCAAAAATACCCTGTGCAGTTTTAATCCCAATTGCATGACCCAATGGATTCAAACTCCAGTTCAAAAAGACCCATAGGACTTCATATACTACACATATATATAATTTTCTTTTTTTCTTTTTTATTTTCATTAATGTGTCCTACTTTTCCTGAAATAATGTGTGTCCTGTGGTGACCAAAACGTGAGTGTCAGTGCTTCCTAGGTTATGGCATGGCTTCGTTATATTTGCTTGCTTATATGTCTTCTTGCTAATTGTTATACTGTAACTGATGGACATTGTTGGTTTTTACAGAGTAAACCGGTGGATGAATTTGACGACTTTGGTGCTGATTTCTGTCCTACACCTGATGCAAACTTTCCGGACTTTGATCTAGAATTTGATAAGAATAACTTCTGGAGCAGTGAGAAGCAAGATATCATTGGTTTAAGGTATAATGCATATGGACCTTTTATCTGTACAAGTCTATACAAACTTTGTTCTCCTCAAATTGTGTCTCTATCAACTGTGAGGTTTTTGGTCTACACATGATGTTGACATCTGCCAATCACTTATAACTGATTTGAATGGATACTGAATATGTAACTTGTCCACATATCCTAAATCTTCAGTTGTTGGAGAAATAGCGTTTCTATATCAGTAGACTGTAAAAGTGTTTAAATTTCATTTGATCTTGATGTTTATCTCTTGTTTCCAATATGAAATATTTGAATAGGAAAGTATGTCCATATATAAATTAGAAAAGATACAAATTATTGCAGAAAACTGCAGGAAAATTATGAAAGTTATTTGAGGAGAAAATCATTGGAGCACATAATAATGCCATAAATGATGAACTTGATATTTTAACCTTTTCTCATAAAAAATTAATACCGATATATTTCTTTTATGATAGATCAGTTTGATTGACACGATTTTCTATATATGTGAGGCAACAACTAGAAGAATTGTTACTGTATATGTTACACAAATTGTTGGATTTAAATGCAACAAATTTCCTTCTGTTCAATCTTGGCAACCACCATATTTTTTTCCTCTCGAAAAAGGACAAATTTGTCTCTATATTGGAATTCAATGCACATATCTCTTAGGATACTATTGTATTTTCTCTCGCATGTATTAATATATGATGCCCCATTTTTCCCGCCGGGTGGGGAGTTGTGGCAACTTATATTTATTCTTGCATGAAAAAATATTCAAGAGTGAAATATCATATTGAGTATTTGACATAGATTCCTTGTGTTATCCAGGTTAGGATGTCAAAAGCTTGAATCAAGTGACCTTAATCAAGCACACCCCATAGGTTTGTTGTATTTTGGTTTTTTGTTTTGCTAATATTTTGCACAAGTTTAAACTTATGATGATACATGTGAATCTCAGCTTCCAATCAAAATGGGAATGAGAGAAATAACTTGCAGGAACCAACAGTTGAAGAACAGATGAAAATGGCCAAGTATAACGTGTAACTTTTCATTCGGTTTACTGCTTATACTTTATATGGAGATATTCTTGCAATCTAACTTATCTTTTTCTTTTCCGGGGTCAAAGGCTGACTACAGCCAATTTGGTAGCCTTGCAAAGCACCAATTTGCCATTAGAACTGATGTGCTCACTTTGCAACACTTTCTTTAAGGACGCTGTGATGATACCTTGTTGCCCGCATAGCTTTTGTGAGAAATGTGAGTTAGGCTTTGTGAGCTGCATTGATGTTGTTGCAAGCTGTGTATACACTACTTACGTTGTAGTTTAAACTTTGAAGAAATTTGTGCAAGTTTGAAATAACATGAGATGTTTTTCATATCTTCAATATTTGTACAAACATTATTGCTTATATATTATTCTCATATTATCTTTGTTGGTGTTATTGCTAGTATCTTTGTAGAATATTTATATTTATTTGTGGCTATGGCGGCAGGTATACGTCTAGCCCTTATTGAAAAGGGAAGATGCCCAAAATGTTTTTCCAGCAAATTCAAGGTAGAAGATCTGCTGCCAAATTTATCACTTCGTCATGCGATTGAGCATTGCCTTGAATCTCAGTTGCTAGCTGATGGTTTAGAGAATGCTATGGAGAAATATGCTCCTGGTAGAAATTCTTTTCTCTGA